ACTGGACTGTCTGGCAGCGGGCAGAACTCGGAACTTGAGGATGGCTTTCTCTGAGGTGCTTGCAGCAATTACCAGGACACTGAGACACGGGGCCCCTTAGGGCAGGGCTGAGGATCAGCCATAGCTGCTTGCTCCACCCTGTTGATTCCCTGAAGCCCCGCCCCTCCCAAGCTGCAGCAGAGGATTTTGCATATGAATGCCCTGGCCTTTTGCAATCTGAAAATTACCTAACTTCAGCTGGGCCAGACAGAACCAGAACTTCCAAGAGAAGGCCCAAGGCCCCACAGCAGCTTGCATTGCTTCACTGCTGGGCCACATTTGGGCACCTCCAAACCCCAAACAAGGAAGGGGAATCTGCAGATCTCTTCGTAGCTCCTGCTGGGTAGCCTCAGGCAGAGGCTAAATTAGCACCTCCTTACATCCAAGAGCCAGTGTACCCAGTGGTCAGAGTGGGACCATCCAATTACAACTCCTCAGATCCATAAGGGACACACTCAGGGGGCAGACTCAATGAGCACCAAAGCCCCACTAAAGCAAGTCTTGCCCCAGAGGGTGTCTTCAGCACAGAAGTTCTCCCACCGTAGACACAGCTGATTCTCACAGCCAATTGGCCTGGAGGTCAATTCCTCCCAGTGATACCTACGACAATCAAGGCTTAACTACAAGACTGTGCACAAAGCTCACAAAGGGGTGCACCAAGAGTGTCCACCTCAGGTAATTGGGGAGGCTGAGCCACTGGGCCCTATAGGACACCTAGCACACAAAGCCACTCCACCAACACAGGGAAGCATAAAAAATGCGGAGACAAAAAAACAGGTCACAAATGACAGAAATGAAGGAAAGAAAATGACTGGATATAGAGTTCAAAACCACAGTTATAAGGTTTTTCAAGAATTTTCTAGAAACCGCCGATAAATTTAGTGAGACCCTGGAGGATATGAAAAAAAACCAACTAGAAATTAAGCATACACTGACTTAAATAAAGAATAATATACAGAGATCCAACAGCAGACAAAAGGACCCCAAGAATCAAGTCAAAGATTTGAAATAGGAAGAAGCAAAAAATACCCAACCAGAAAAGCAAAAAGAAAAAACAATCCAAAAATATGAAGATAGTGTAAGGAGCCTCTGGGACAACTTCAAGTGCACCAACATCTGAATTATAGGGGTACCAGAAGAAGAGAGAGAGCAAGATATTAAAAACCTATTTGAAGAAATAATGACAGAAAACTTCCCCTACCTGGTGAAAGAAATAGACTTACAAGTCCAGGATGCACAGAGAACTCCAAACAAAAGGAATCCAAAGAGGACCACACCAAGACACATCATAATTAAAATGCCAAGGGCAAAAGACAAAGAGAGAATCTTAAAAGCAGCAAGAGAAAAACAGTCAGTTACCTACAAGGGAGTACCCATAAGACTGTCAGCTGATTTCTCAACAGAAACTATGCAGGCCAGAAGGGAGTGGCAAGAAATATTCAAAGTGATGAATAGCAAGAACCTACAACCAAGATTACTTTATCCAGCAAAGCTATCATTCAGAATTGAAGGTCAGATAAAGAGCTTCACAGATAAGAAAAAGCTAAAGGAGTTCATCACCACCAAACCAATATTATATGAAATGCTGAAAGGTATTCTTTAAGAAGATGAAGAAGAAAAAGGTAAAGATAAAAATTATGAACAGCAAATACATATCTATCAACAAGTGAATCTAAAAACTAAGTGAATAAAAAATCTGATGAACAGAGTAAACTGGTGAATATAATAGAACCAGGGGCATAGAAAGGGAGTAGACTGACAATTCTTGGGGGTAAAGGGGTGTGGGGTGCAGGAAAAGACTGGACAAAAATCGTACACCTATGGATGAGGACAGTGGGAGGGGTAAGGGCAGAGGTTGGGGTGGGAACTGGGTGGAGGAGAGCTACGGGGGGGGGGGGAAAAGAGGAACAACTGTAATAATCTGAACAATAAAGATTTAATTTAAAAAAATAAAAAGATGTAATCAGTCTAAGTAGGGTTCCGGAACCAGGCTCTTTCTCTTTCTGCTCTGCTTTCCTTAAAGCAAGGTTCCCATCTCAGAACTGTCCTGTAGAACGGACACCTGGAGCCCACAGGATGGCAGGAAGGCAAAAGACAGAAGGGACCTTCCCCGGCTAAGTCAATTTGTTGAAGTTGCCTTCCCAGGCGCCCCACACACTTCCACTTTTATTTCACTAATTACAGCTTGGTCACATGGCCCATGAGAAATATATTCTTTTAACTGGAGATATTGCCAACCCAAATAGAATTGAGAAAACTAAGGAAGATGGATATTGGGTGGCAACCAGTTATCTGCCTCATGGAGTTATGAACAAAAGGCTGAGGAAGCATGAAGCAAGAAAGCAGTTAACTCTGGAATCTGGAAAAGGCTTTTTTTGAGAAGGAGACAATTTGGGGTTTGAAGGATGAATAGGAGTTTGCCAAATAAAGAATTGGGAACGTTTGCCAAATAAAGTTTGCCAAATAAAGAATTATTTCCAGGCAGAAATAATAATATGTGCAAAGACGCAGAGGGGTCTGACATTATACCTGCCAATGAAGCCCATTTCTTATGCTTAATTTTCCTCTGTTATTAATGATAGCTCTTAAAAGAACAGTTTAACTAGTTTTTAATTAATCAAATAGTTATAAAAGATCAACAGATTAAGGTATGTCAACAATAATTTTCCTGATGTAACTGCAAATAATTTTCCACTTGGACCAAACTAAGAACACTTACCTGATGATAAAGTATTCCACGTTTTAAAAATAATTGAGTTAGAATATTTTGGCATCTTAAAAAGGAATTGATACAGAGAGAGGAAAAGCAATTGTGTCAGGGCGATGTTTGTCTTTTCAATTCTGAAGTTAAACAAAGCCCATTTAGAACTGACTTGGTTCATAGCCTGGGGTCCATAAACCTACACTGAGAGCTTTTGGTGGTCTGCCCAAGTCAGCCTGAAATATGTCACCTTCTATTTAGCGATTCCTAACATCATTGTTCTTTTGGATCTGTGGAACTGGACTGTCCTTTTCTTAAAATGGCTTTAGAACCATAAGAAATATTTAGGATTAGGGAAGTTTCCATGATTATCTTCTTTTTGGCTCCTTTAGAGACATCAGAGCCTATTAAAAAATTTCCAGAGAAACTTAAGTCTTTTGAGAAACCTGAAATTTCTTTAATTTGAGAAATAAACCTAGTTAGCTTTGAGATACCGGAGAGTGTAAATTCCCATGCCCCACTGTGCACCTTGTCCTTCCACAGAGCTGAGTATCTTTCCAACTCCAAACAAAAGCAGTAGAGCCAGCGATTCTTTGAATACTGCTTAAATTAAGATCGCCAAGTTTCCTCAAAAGATTCAACCCTAAGGAAATCAGATTATGTAATCTTCTGATAATTTGATGTGTGGTTGTAGTTTGTTTTTTGCTTACTTTCTTTTTTAAATTTTTATTTATTTATTTTAGAGAGAGAGAGGAAGGGAGAGAGGGAAGAAGAGATAGAGAGGTAGACATTGATTTATCGTTCCACCTATTTATGCATTTCATTGGTTGATTCTTATATGAGGCCTGACTAGGAATCAAACCCACAACATTGATATATTGGAACAACTCTCCAACAAACTTAGCTACCCGGCCAGGGCCTACTTTTTGCTTATTTTCTAATTAGCTAGTATCTAGGCAAGACTAAAATATTCTGTAAACCCCACAGCAACATGTCCCCTTTTCCTAGTTAATCTGAGTCTTTATATCTCAGCTCAAAAGATGCTTTCTTAGGGACATTATCTCTGGTCTCCCAAACCAGATCAAATTCTCCATATTTTATGCTCTTGCAGTACCTGTATCTGTGTTTTATAGCTTGTATGGTGATTATCATTGTACGTTATTGTACTTGGTGATTTGAGTAATGGGTGCCTCCACCACTAGACTCTTAAGTCCCATGAGGTTGGACCCCTATGTGCTTAAACTCTCCATTGGATTTTGTTCCTCACACTGTGCCTGACCCATAGCAGATCTCTGATCATTGTTGGCTGAATGATCAAATGCCTTTTTGGTAAATAAATTACTTCTACACTCCCAGTCCACACTGTGCTCAGACATGAGAGTGAATACAGAAGTTGCTCAGCTCAGGTGTGGGTTCATTTTGAAAATAACTTCGCTGCAGTCATATAGAAGCACATTGAAGAAGTCCTAAGCCGGCACGTGCTTGGCTCTGCATGGACGACAGTTGGGGGAATGCTGACGTCGCCTCACTGCAGCCTCTGAACCTACTGAGGGGCATTGCTGCTTTACCACAGTGAACCCCTCCAGATGGAGTTAGCTTACCTTTGCTCCCCACTTAAGAGCCCAGCACTATGTTTTCTAAATGACATCTTTGCATTTCAAAAAATGTACAACCGTTGAAGGAGTTGGTGCTTTGTCATCTATTTTAAAAGATACCTGTGTGGCCTGGCTGGAGTGGTTCAGTGGATTGAGCACTGACCCATTCTCCAAGACATCCCCTGTTTGATTCCCGGTCAGGGCACATGCCCCGATGTTTCTAACTCTCTCCCTCTCTCTTTCTCTCTAAAATCAATAAAAATATATTTTTTTTTAAAAAGATGCCTATGTGATTTGAGTGAATCATAATTATTGACAGTGGGAATTATTTTTGAATGAAGGTTCTATAATATCAATAGTGCCAGATCCTCCTCTCTCTCTCACCTTTCCCCCTTCCTGATTCTCTCCTTCCCTTTTTCTCTCTCTCTTCTCCCTCCCTCCTTCCCTGCCTCTCTCTCCATCCCACCTATCTTTGTGTTTGTTTATTTGAGCTATAAAAACATCTTTACCCATGTTGTTTTATTCTTCCTTAGCTTGATTCAAATTCCAGCTGAATTCAATCCCTTGCATAGGAATCATGTTTTATGCCTCCTCAAAGACTACGGGAGGACCTGGGGTCCAGCAGTAGGCACCTGGTTGAATTACACATCTCTCTTTCTTGTTAGATTGTTGGCTGTGATCATCAGCTCGGAAGCACTACCAAGGAAGATAACTGTGGAGTTTGCAACGGAGATGGGTCCACCTGCAGGCTGGTCCGAGGGCACTACAAATCCCAGCTCTCAGCAACCAAACGTAAGATGCTACAGAGATGGGGCAATCTTTGGGCCTTTTGACTTGTTAGCTCCTCCCACACCTGCTCCTGCTTAGCTCCCCTCAGCAACTAGTGAATAACACCTTCCCCAACATGAAGCCAGATGTGAAAATATTGTGAAACAATTCATGACCCTGCTTTGTGGATTCGTTGAAGTGGGATAAATCAGGTCACCCATTGCAACCCCAAGGAGGAGACCTTTCTGTTTAAGATACCTTAGGAGCATCTAGACATACACTCTATGTGCAGGCATGAGCTAGTTGCCCAGCCTGAGGACAGACTGCATCCCCATTGCTCCTTCACACATAGTCAGATGTGCGTGGTGGAAGATAGCAGGGAGCATAAACAGATCAGAGCAAATCCATTCTCGAATGGTGAAATCACATGGTCTTCATTTACAAAGTGACTTTTGATCAGTGTTGATCACAGATTTTTTTCAGAATTAACATCAGGCAGCAATTATGTGAAGCCATTCGTTGCCTTTTTGTCCTAATCTCTCCGCACCAGCCCAATAAATGTGTGCTTACTATATAGCCGTGTGTGCTGGAAACTTTACATGATCATCTCATCTAACCCTTACAACAATCTTTTAGCAAGATGCTGTTTGTCTCCATGTTGCAAATGAGATAACTGAGGCTTAGCCATGTTGTGTGACCTGCTCAGAGTGACACCGCCATCAAGTAGCAGAGCCAAGATTTAAGCCCAGGGTCTGATTCCAAAGCCTAAGCACATATTCATTCCTCTGGACTGTCCCATGGAACATGGTGGAACCTTTGTAAAGCAGTTAGATGGATCAAGGCACGGAACTTCAGATATCTGCCTAGCTGGGTCCTGCTAGGGTAGGTGGTATATGTTCTCATAATATCCAACCCAACAACAGAGTCACACATCAATGTCACTCTGTGCTTGGTACTGCAGCAGATGTAGACATAAATAAGACAGCCCTTATACCCAAGGACATGCCATTTTAGAATAATTTGACCTTGCTTGGCATATTATCTCCAGATTTTGCCCTTATCCAGAAGCCTTCAATAGATCCTTGATTGAGTCTCCTCTGGCTTGGAAAGTGAGAAGGAATATCTTTACTAAATGTGGCTTTATTCACTTGTTGACTCGGTGGAGGAAAACAATTGACATATGAGAGGTTTATGGCTTTAAATGGACTTGCAGGTCAAGAAGAAAGGTAGTGGGTACTGGAGAACTATTCCAAGAAGTCCGGAAAAACCAGCTTGCCAAAAGAATTAGGCTCTAGGGCAGCGGTTCTCAACTTGTGGGTCACGACCCCTTTGGGGGTTGAACGACCCTTTCACAGGGGTCGCCGAAGACCATCGGAAAACACATATATAATTACATATTGTTTTTGTGATTAATCACTATGCTTTAATTATGTTCAATTTGTAACAATGAAATTGGGGTCACCACAACATGAGAAACTGTATTAAAGGGTCGAGGCATGAGGAAGGTTGAGAACCACTGCTCTAGGGGGAAGGAGGTGGCAAGAAAAAAAGCTAGGGACTTTTAAACACATGAAACATTGGAGGTGCCATCTTGGGAAACTCTCCACATTCTAATACCCCTGCAAGCAGTGAAAAATGTGATTTTGAAAAAAAATTTTTTTTAAATACTCTGGCAGAGAGAATGAACGATGAGGTAAGTTAGACATTGATATAGTACATTCAGGCAAGATACTTTTTTTTTGGTCATGTTTGGTAGCATTTCTGTAAGATGAAAAATTAAAGAATTTAGACGATGAAAACCAGAGAAGGATAGAAAGTTAGAGGCGTAATTCTTTTGTAAATCTCTGAAATCACGGTGAGATATATTTGGGAGGGGTGGGGGAGGTACATTTAGAAAGTCCCTTTAATAGAACTCTTTAAGGAATACAGAAGAGTTAAAATCTTTTTCCTTGAGTCACGTAACTGAGTCATGCTTATTCTCTAGGAATCTAAAAATTTCTATTAGGCACAAAAAGATGGCAGGCCTGTGTGCAGCAGCTGCTGAGGGCATGTTTTTCCTTCATTCCTTCTTGTGTCCCCAACCTTCCCATCCTCATAGAGGAGCCTGAACATGCCGGTTGGATAGATGATCCTCTTACCCTCCTGTTAAAAGGTGATCCAGGACCTTTGGGGCCAGAATCACTGGAGCAAAGGTGGAGAGACGCTGAAGGAACAAACTGAGGCAAAATGAGAGCCATAAGTCATCTCGGGGTCTGCAAATAGACACCTCAGTGCAAACCGCTCTATTCGAGAGCGGCCGTGGGTAAATTACATAATGCACAGCCCGATGATTTTCCGTAATGACAAAACGCAATTGATTCGTTTACCTTAGCGCTGATGATGCCTCCTGACAAAATGATTTATATCAATAAAGCCCAGCATCTGCGTGCACCTCACCACAATCTATAGCAGATGCTGAACAAACGGCCTCGTTTATGTTTTCCCCACCCCAGAAAGACCTTCCGCCCAGATTTACAGGCTGCGGGGTGACCCACAGGCAGGGAACATTAGGCTGCTCTGCGGGGCCCAGTGCAGTGGCCAGGTGAGCAGCTTTCCACCCGTGAAGGCCCGGAGGCTTCTGCCAGGCCCCTCCCCGGCTCTGCCAAAAGCACAGGGAGCCAGCCGCATGCTCTTTCGAACTCCCAGCACTCGGATTCCCCACATTGAACTCATTTTCTTCTGAACTTACATCCAACTTTTTTTTTCCTTGTGTTATCAAGCCCTGGGGGAACAAAGAAAACACAGAAGAGGGGAGAAAGACCACGGTGGAAAGTGCCAGAAGGGAAGGTAGAGCAGGAGGAACTTGCAAATGGCTTCCCTTAGCTGGCAAAGAAAAAAGAAACCATATTTGTACTAGAAGACATGACTTTTTGCCTAATACAAATGCAGGCAACAGAAAAAGAGCTAGGTCAGGCCCTCCTTCCCCCTTTTCAGAAGAGAAAGCTGTCCACTGAGAGCATTCAGTGTTTCCATTCATCCTGGTCACTTTGTTTCTATTCCCCCAGCCCAACAAAAAATAATCAGATTTAGCTAACACTAACTTACGTTTGGTTCTTGGTATTAAAGACTCATTTCCCCCCAAATTTGACTGGCTTGTGCCGTATTATGTATTTTCCAAGTCTGTTCAGAACATACTTAGACCTAGAGCCAGCCTATTTGCTATCAATTTGATGTCTCCAGCTTTGCAAACCTCTGATATGTATCTGCGTGTTTTGAAATCTACTGGGTATCCTAAAGATCTCTCTCCACCTCTCTTGAGTGGCAAGAGCTGGATACACTAATTTATATCAAGATCAAATGAAGCTCCTAAATGCTTGGCTTCACTTCTCAGACTGTGGCTTATGCTGATTTATAATAACGATGGGTAAATGTTTTCCTGGACTATTATTTTGGCTCAAAGATTTTGAGGTAAAGGATGTTCATAATAAAACACAGATCTATGTATTATAAAGTGAATAATACATAGGAATGTTCTAAAGAAAGCACAAATTTTTAAAGAAATTTCTACCTTGAACTTCAGGTTATACTCACAAGCTAGTTATTCATTCATTCATTCATTCATTCATTCAGTTATCATTCATTCAGCAGAAGTTCACTTATTTATTCCACAACAAATATTTCTTGGATACCTGCTATGTGTTAAGGAACTATTTTAGTACTGGAAACATAAGAAAGAACAAAACAGATGAAAATCCATTTTTCTCAGGGGGCTTGCATACTAATGTGAGGGACAGGCATGTACAGGGACAAAACAAATAACTAAATAAAATAATACATGTGTCATATGGTGATAGGAGAATAGTAAGGCAGGAAAGAGATTGGGAAAAAGTAAGGTGGGGAAGAAGAAGAATTGGACATTGGGCTGCTAGCCAAGGGTATTGGAGGGTTAAAAAGGTTAGTAAGAAAAGATTCACTGATAAAATGGCATTTGAGCAAGCATCTAAGGTAGGTACCGGTGGCGCACCACACAAAAGTCAGGGGGGAGAGAATTCCAGGCATAAAGAACAGCAAGTGCAAAGGGCCTGTGGTAGATGCATTCTTCACATATTTCTTGAAGAGCAAAGAAGCTTGTGTGTGGTGGAGAATGGCACCCATATTGCAGGATTTTATAAGGACTCTGGCTTTTAATCTCAATGAAATGAGAAGTCATAGGAGGATTTTTAGCAGGGGCATGATTTGTTTTAAAGGGATCACTCTACTATGCTGAGAATAGATTATAAGGAGTCCCAACTGTGAAAGTGAGAAAAGCAGTCAGGAGGCTACTACAGTAAGCCAGGTCAGGGATGATGATGGACCATGGTAGTAGCTATGGAAGTGGTGAGAAATGTTCCAATTTGGGATAATTGCATTTCTTTGAATCTAAGACATCATTGCTTGAAAGATGTGCCATTATTTTATTTTTTTAATTTTGATTTTAGAGAGGAAGGGAGAGGGAGAGAGAGAGAAACATCAATGATGAGAGAGAATCATTGATTGACTGCCTCCTGCACACCCCATACTGGGGATCGAGCCTGCAACCCAGGCATGTGCCCTGACTGGGAATTGAACCACAGCCTTTTGGTTCATAGGTCAATGCTCAACCACTGCACCACACCAGCCAGACTGTACTATTATTTTATACACCACTAAGAGAGAAAAAAAAAGTCATTGAAATTAAGAAACTATGACACTGCCTTCTGACCACTTAGGGCTTTTACTTCTTAACTACTATAAAGTCTATTTTAAACTTAGACATATTTTTAGACTATACTATATTGCACTGACACATCCAGAAAGGGAAAATAAAACTGAAATAAATTAATAAATTGATAAAAAATTAAACTTTTTCTCAGACTTTAATTCTTTTTAATCCCTTTAGACTCAGTCAATTTCCACATCATTAGGGTACTTGTGATACAGTATTTTTAAAAGAATCAAAAAAAGAAATAAAGTCCATAAATATTGGGCACTTTTGTTATAAATGATATGCAATAAACTAGATAAAG